CAACCTCTTCTTTACACCCTTTATTTATTATACAAATTTCTAAATTCATCCTATGTGGTTTATATAAAATCAAGACCTTATTTTCCTTTTATTTAGGACTTTTAAAAGATCTACAAGTCATTGTAATTTTTTTAATTATACGTTTCTATCTTATATTTTTTTATGTTGCTTATAATGAAAAAAATGATTACAATATTATGAATAATTGCTTGCTCATTATCCATATGATAATTATATGAAAATAAATCAAAATTAATTAATGTGATATATATATATTTCATTAAAAGTTAAATAAATAACCATGTACGAGTAAAAACTTATAAATTTCTTCGGGATGTTAGGGTTCGATGAGGAAGAAGAGAATTGGGAATGAAATGGGAAATGTTGTTTGATTTTGAGTTTCAGATTTTTCCAAACCCAAAACGATATGTCGTCTGCATGTTTGGGAGATGGTAATTGTGAAATATGTCACATGGCATCCTATTCGGTTTTAAGTCTATGTCATCACTAATTATTTCCTGCTACATCAAATGATAACAAACTTTTGGACAGATAAATTCATAGGTGCTAATACAGTTAATGAAAATTTAGTTTGTGTATTTTCTATCAAACATTAACAAAACGTATTAATATAATTAAAAAATACAAATTTATAATTATTTGATTCAATAAGCCTAAAATGAATATTTTTCAATTATTCTTTAGTATTTGTATCAAATTGACAAATCTTTAGAATTTAAAAACCAAACAATTGTTAGAGCTTTATCAGAAGCTAATAAAACAAAGAAAGAAAAGCTTAGAGCTTTATCAGAAGCCAATAATGAGGACAATGCTGCTGTATGAATGTATTTATATACAAGGTTTCAGTCTAGTGGTAAATCATTTTTAAGCAAGAAAATAAAAATTCAAAAATCCTAATCCTGCAAAAAAAGTTAGATTCATTGTGTACTGTTTAGTTTTTTTTTTTTACTAGATTCATCTCGTTTTAGTGGAATCTAACATATCATCTCGTTTAGTTTATTTAATTTGAGTTAGATTTCTCTCGGTTAGTGATCCAATCCAGTTCAAACGGCTTTTATTTTCCTATAAATACTTCAAAACACATATAGATTTTGTTTACTTTTATAAAATATATTTTGAGTTTACATATTATTTATTATCAATTCTTTTTTATAGAAAATTAAAAAAAAACATGTTTAATAATTAAGTACAAATTTTTCAGAACAAAGATCTTGTTTATTTTACTTTAAAAATTAAAAAAAAAAACATTAAACATTCAATGTACCATATACTTATCTTATAAATAAATAAATAAATTACACAATTGTAACAATAGCATGTGATATTTTGTTTATAAATTTACATAAAGATCAGACTTATGATAATACAACCCTACCAGTCTTTAGCCTCTCAGGATTTATCTCTGTCCATTATATTTAGAATTTCAGCAATCAATCAAGTCTCTCATCTGGCTAAAAGGCTTCTAGTCCTTCTAGTCTTTTGATTTTTTAACTAGAGGTTGACCTTCAAATCCATATGGATTTCGTGTCATTGACCAGGTCATTGGGAACGCATAAATCATGAAGCGTTAGACAATTCGATATTTGATTTTTCTTTTTTCTTTGATTTTAAATAGTGTTTTCTAACTAATTTATACATTAACCAAAAATAAATCTTCTATCCAAATGATATTAAAAAAAAAATCATATATCATATTAGTTTGCTATATTAAATTTTCTTTGATGCCTAGTCAAATTGATGCTTAGTTAAAAATCCATGCCTTTTTAACTGCACATCAACCTGACTAGTATTTTATAAAGGAAAAATAAACAGTAGTGGTTGTGAAAAAGAGTAATGATATATATATATATATATATATATATATATAGAGAGAGAGAGAGAGAGAGAGAGAGAGAGAGAGAGAGGCAATTTTGTATTTTACGTACAATCTCTATTATACGTATTTAGAGGGTTTTCGCAAAGAACTCCCGGCCCCATCTAAGATTTGACCCACCCCTTCAGAGTAAAATCGAATTACGGTCTAGACAATATCAATTTCCAAAATCATATAAAAGCACATAATTAGATTAATGAAGAATTTTTTTTTATTAATAACAGGACTTGATGCTTAATTAGTGGATCATTTATTTAATTTTATTGCACAAATAATGTAATGATTAAGTCAACGAAACACATATTTTTAAAATCTTACTTTGCATTTTATATTTTATTATAAAAATAGCATTTGATTTTTTAAAAATTAAAAATTAAAAATAGCAATGAGACGACATGTGGATTTGTTTTTTAATAATGCAATATGCTGAAATTATTCTATTAATAATCTAATTTTTATACATGTTATTATGTGGTATCGATAAGATACAAAACATCTACATGTGATGCTTTTAAATTTTAATTCTCTAAAGTTTTGTTCGGTGACGAGTAATGGAATGATAAAAATAAAAATATAATTTTTTTTTACTTTATAGATATTTAGTTGAAAAGAATAAAATAAAAATAAGAAAAAAATAAACATAATTTCATTCTTATGAGAAAAGTGAGAATAAAAATAAAAAGTAAAAATATTTTTTTAAAATAATAATATATACATATATTTTTTTATTATATATCAACTATTTTTATTATTATCAATGCCTTCGCTTTCACTAACATCTCCACCACCCCCAATTAGAGGCCATGGTAAAAAAAAATATTTTTATTACTATTTCGTCAATACTTCTCCTCCACCACCATTGTTATTTTTTATTATACTAGCATCATCATCATTTTTTTTACTGTCACATTTTATAATGGTGGTGCTAATTTCATAAAAATATATTATTGTTATTACTATGTTATTATTATCACTATTTTCTTCGTCTTAGTCATCTTCCTCCTCTGCCACCATTTATACAATCACTTTTATCATTTTGATTGTCATTTTTATCATTTTTACTATCATCATAATTGATAAAATTATTTTTCAATCACTATTTTCATTCATTTTAAATACTAAATATTAAAAATAAAAAATTTAATTTTTATTATTTATTATTATTTTAAACACCTTGAAAAATACAAATATCATTCTAATTTTTTAATTTTAGAGGTTTTATTTTTGTTAACCAAATGATACCTAAATAAAATGGCTTTAACCTTATTTCCCAAATTAAAGCATTATTTCCCATATAACACATGAGATTAATAAGATAAATATGTTTTAGTGTCCCATAAGCATGTATTTAGAAAATTCAAAAGCTTTAAACATCAAATGAATTAAATTTATTGACCTAACAGGAAGTGAATTGCTCATATTATCTCCAAACAGTTTCATAATCTCCATGAAAAATGATATCGCCAATTAAATTTTTAGCCCATGGACAAATTATAAAACTTTACAATAAACAAATTCTAATAAAGTACGAGGCTTGAGTTCGAGTTTGACCGTGTTCGGGACAAGTCTAAAGTATAAAGTTCGAGTTTGATTTGTTTAATTTTTTTAATAAATTTATATTCGAGTTACGTTTAAAGTTTTACTTGTTTATTATGTCATATACCAACTATTGAAAAACAAATAGAATGCAATGAGAACAAAATATATATATATATATATATATATATAACTTGCTTATGTTTTACAATTGTAAAGTTCCCCATATACGTTGCAATCAAAAGATTAAATAAATAACTATACATTAATGTTCATTAAACAAACATTAAATTCATATTTTATTGAATATAGTATTGAACACTTACTCTCACTCTAATGTTTAATTTGGATTAATCAATAAAAAATGATAATTTTTTTTTATGGATAAATAATTCAATTTATTTTTATATAATATTTCGAATGTCTTATATATTTATATATTTTTATTTACGTTTATTATATTTTTAAATAATATTTAAGTTTTTAATTTTTTTTATAAAATTTTCAGCGTAGTTAAATATTTCAATTTTAATCATCACCCCCTTTCTATTTTTACAACCCAAAACAACAAAAAGTTAAAAATAAGAAAATATCATCAATTACAAAAAGAGAAAAACAGAATAGTTTTTTAGTATTAAAAAGTGCTGTTAACTATCGTTCCAACTAATCTTTATCTTAATCATTATATTGATAATCCATTCCATCTCGTCAAATTCTCTCTCCCTCGCAGGCACTTCTCTGCTCCCGAAAATACTCCCTCCCTCCCTCCCTCCACTCTCTCTCTCTCTCTCTCTCTCTCTCTCTCTCTCTCTCTCTCTCTACGTCTCTAACACGGATATCGAGAACAAATAAAACAAAACCAGGCAGGAATAACAGGATTTAAAAACAGCAAAAAAATAAAAATAAAAATCAAGGGTTTCCAATTCACCCCTTTTCCCTCTCTTTCTCTCTCTCTTCCAAATCCTTTCCCTCCAAACACCATTTCTCCGGTTTCTTTCATATTTTCCCCCGGAAAGTTTTATTAGAATTCGCTTTCTTTGCCGCCTCCGGTGATCTCATTATTTTCTCGCTACTTTCAAGGAAAATTTGTTTTTCCCGGGAAAATTTCTCCTCTTCTCCGCATCGGCTAGGTAACTCATAATCTCTTTTCTAGCGGATGTGACTGTTTGCTTTGATTAAATATTTGATTCTTATCTCTTTTAGGGAATAAAAATGTGCCCCTCTTTTTTTTTCCAATAATACCAAAAAGAATGTTAATTTGTGATTCTTCTGGAGTTTGAAATGTAGATTTAAGCTGGAAAGTGTTAAAATTACAGAAAAATGTAGTTTTGTTATTGTTTTGATTGTTAGGGTTTGTGTTTTTGAGTAGTTTTGGTGGTGTTTTTGTTATTTTTAGGAGTTCCAGATGCTGTTAAGGAAGGAAAGGATTGCTAACTGAAAAGATCTATAGATTCAATAGAGAGAAGAGAAATTGAGAGTTTCAAAGGAAATGGCTCTCTCCTTGCTTCTTATGTGAATTGGGATTTTTTTTTTTTTTGGGAAGTATTTGATTTTGAATGATAATTGGTCTATGGATTTACAAGTACTTTCAACCCAGGTTTCGCCATCGAGGGATTCGATTAAGTGTTGTAATTGTGGCTGCAGTTGTTCTTTTGTAACCGGTTCATCTTCAGGGTCTTGGATCAGGTCAGTGAAAAGAAAACACGATGAGTTTGAGGAGGGAAATCGGTTTTATATACCCGGGTTTGATTCCTTCTCGAATCCACGAGTACAAATTGAGAATGAATGTGCTGCACTACGTGAGATGGTTTCTAGCCAACAGCAGACGATGCAGGATTTGTACACAGAATTGGAAGAGGAGAGGAATGCTGCTTCTTCAGCTGCAAATGAAGCTATGTCAATGATATTGAGGTTGCAAAGGGAGAAGGCAGAGATCCAAATGGAGGCAAGGCAATTTAAGCGTTTTGCTGAGGAGAAGATGGGGCATGATCAGCAGGAGCTTTTGGTTTTGGAGGATGTTTTGTATAAGAGAGAGCAGGCTATTCAATCACTTACTTGTGAAATTCAGGCTTATAAGCATAGGATGATGAGTTATGGCCTTACAGAGGCAGAGGCAGAGGGCGATAAGGGTGAGAGGGGTGGATTTAGCCGCAACCCAAGCATGAACGGAAATTTGGATGCAGCTCAATTTGAGTTTCCAGCATATGAATACCCACCCCTGAAATGCAATTTGAATGAAAATCCTAATCCTTTGGAGGGTGAAGATGATATTGTGGATGTTGAGAAATATGCATTTGGCGAGACCCCTCGTGGTCGGGAGCAGTTGAAGAGTTTGGAATATAGGATCTATCAGATGGAGAGAAGCCCACGCAGCATTCAACAGGATGGTGATTTTTCTGGTACAAAGAATATTCTCGAGAAGGTGGTAGTTGGCCACTCTCCTAGGCGGTCAAGGCACAGCAGGAGGTTCTCCGGAGATAGTTCCAGTTCATTGACGGGGATGTCTAGAGAATTGGGTCCAGATTTTGCCTTTGAATCTCCAAGATCCAAGTTAAGCAATAGCTTTAAGAAGACAGATTATGCTTCACAAGTTGAAGATTACACAAATTCGAGAAAGAGGGATAATACATCAGAATTTGGAGATGACATGAGTGACAGAGTTTATACCATCGATTCTATCCATAATGTGGTCTCACAGAATGGTGTTACAGAACCAAAACCTGGAATTGGGATTTACGAAGAGTATCTTTCAACTCCAAGAGAGACATTGAATCAGCCTGACGTTAATGATCCTGATATAAAAAAGCTGTACATGAGACTTCAGGTGCTTGAGGCTGACAGGGAATCTATGAGGCAAGCAATTATTTCAATGCGGACTGATAAAGCACAAATGGTATTGTTGAAAGAAATAGCTCAACATCTGTGCAAAGAAATGACACCGGAAAGAAAAATGCCTGTGAAGAAGCAATCTCTTCTTGGAAGCTTTTCCTTCATGTCAATCTTTAAGGTAATTCATATGCTTTGTGTGAATGAATGCGCTTTCCTATGTAATAGAGATATCCATTCAGTTTTTTGGTATCCAAAGTATATCATCAAAACTGCTGTTCCATGATCATTTTTGTTGATTGTTATTGCATTAGTCTTTGTATTAGTTTCTTGACCTGTACTTTCCCCGTCTGATTTTCTTTTTTCACTTAAATATTTTATTCATTGTTATAGTGGGTATGGCTGAACTAGACTTAGATAGTAACTTTGAATTTGCATAAACTGAACTGCATTGTAGAAGGCTGTTCATTGGAATCTGAGTTATGATGTAAATGTGAGCACTTGAACGTATATAAAATAAAATTATTGAAGGGCATTTGTGATGTCTTCTTTCTTTTCTTTTTTTTCCTATTCATCCTTGATTCTCTTGACTTCCACGCACCAATAGCTCTTCACTGCTCTCTCATTAAATTGCTGTAAGCAGCATTATGACTATCGGGGGCTCTGTTTTAATTTACCCTTTTTTTAGCACTGTTCTGCATGTTATTAGTTCAGCTAGCACTAAAACCTCTTCTGTTTCATTTTGTTTGTTCAGTGGGTCGTGTCCTTTGTTTTCTGGAGAAAGAAAGCTCAACGAAGCAAGTAAGTATATTGCTATAAACTATCAACATTATTTAGTTTTTCTTTTAGCGTTGCCATATAGTTGCATGTATAAAACTATTTGAAGTGCATGCAAATTAGGAGAAAATTCCTCCAATCAAAAAGAGAAGCAAGGGAAAATCTTTGTAGTTTTTAAAGGAATTGTGTTGGGAATTGGAGAAAGAGAGGGATATGAGTCCAAGGAAGGAAAAATAGTTCTGATGAACCCTGTTTCAAAATTTGGGATTAAACTACTTTTTTTACAGATGCAAATGCATATGTTTACAGTATTCTCGAACTGTATGTTTCTCGGTTACTTCAGTTTGAGAAATGTTGTTGAAGATACTTCTTCTTCACATTGGTGGCCTCATTTGTAGTCTCCATCTGGCACTGATGTTTGATCTCATCAAATTGGTAATGGCAGGTATATGTTTGGACTTTCAGCCACAAATGTCGGCTTGCTAATGCTTTTAGACAAAGGCCCCCGCACGAGGCAATGGAGATGTCTCATGAGCACGCAAGTGTGAAACCATCAGTCAAAATTCTAGTATCCATTTGAAGCCAGTGCTCATATAGAGAAAGTGGATTTTGGCCATGGTATCCTGATTTGCTGCGTTCTTTTCATAGATTTCTTCATCAAATTTCAGTGTTTTGTGCAGTGTTTTTTGATTTCATTTTTATCTGGATTGAATATATTTTGCTGGGTGAATGGTGAAGCATGGATTTAGTATGAGCATACGTTTGTTGAAATTTAGCTTGAAGTGAGGTGTCCGTCTTCTGACAATCCTCTGCTGTATATTTCAGAATTCAGATTCCTGTATAAGATTTCACATTTAACTGTGCAGTGGCTATTCTTTTTCTCAAATGAGATGCAGGGTGCATCCTGATGAATTATTTCTTTATTTAAATGCTGTAAATGATGGGTTGATGCTGTAAATAGGGGGCTATCTGTTTGTAAAGTTAGTTTGCTGACAAAAATTATTACCCTATGATTACAAGGCACTTTTGACAGCTACTCGGATATGAAGGGCCGTAAGCTTTGGTTTATTCATTGAGGATGCCAATCCAGCTAATGCTCGGTTATAGAATGCTGAAAATAGGGCACCCCAAAAATAGGAAATGTTGTTCAGCCTGCTATTTTAGTACATGTTACTTTATTTTCGTTGTCCTGGTCCTTTTACTTTTACTGAAAAAAGAAAAGAAAAAAAAAGGTTTTGGATTTCCTTCTTTGACCACGAGACTTTCAGTTTCTGTGTGCCTGAGCTTCAGGAGAGCACGTAGTTGTAGACTTGAAGTTCTACTTTGAAGACGTCTACCTCAGGAAAGGTTGGTGAAGGGCAATCCAACTATAAAATGGGATTGTATTCTACTTTGGACTGTTCATCTTGCTTTATAACAGGCAACGAAAATTCCTTTGTACCGTGACTAGGTGCTCGTATGGCATTTTGGGTTTTAGCTTTTGGAGTTTTTTCCCCCAAAATCTATTGAAAAAAAAATGCTTGGTAAAATTCTAAATATCATTTTAATAGTTATTCGGAAGTCAAAAATCAGATGTTATAAAATGAAGCTTTGAGGTTTTAAAAAACCTGTTTGAAAAGAACTTAGCCATAGTCATGGTTGTTATGTTTGTGAAAAAAATATTTGATGATACATGGTATTAAAATACTTTTATATTAAATAAGACTCAAGAGCTTCATTTTATAGCATATGACTTAAGACTTTCAGAAAAAAAGCTCCAAAAGCTATATATATATATATAACTCTTAGTTGCCAAACTGGCATTAAGTCTTACATAACATAACAGTATTTTCTAAATAGATCCGGCCACTATGTAGTTGGATTGCTTCTAAATGTGGTGCTTATATATTTACCTAATGTTTTGTTTTTCTCTGACTGAATAATAATAGAGTAATCTAAAGTGCAAGATGCAAATCTCAACCATATGCACGTAGTTGCTTTTAAGAGGCTTCAGAAATGCATAAATCCAAAGGATTTTTTGGCCAGACAGCCCACAATGTGTGCGATTGTACAACATTTTTTTTTTTAATGAAATACTTAGGATCTCTTTAGATACCAACTGTTTGATTGTAAATATTTGTTTGGTCTTAGCATCTTTCAAAAAGAATATTTGATTTTATTTAAATATTATTGTGGGTTTTTTTATATATAGTTTTTTGTAGGGTTTTTCCTACATGTGAACCTTGTATTTATTGATTTTTTTAAAAAAATTAAATCTCTCTATTCTTTGTTGACTTGATTGGAATTCTGTACTCTTCAAAATTTTTTATTTCAAACTTTTCTTTATAACACTACCGATCGGTAATCGATCCTTTTTTGAGATTTTTTATTTTACAATGTCATGCGTCGATCACTCGAATAATAATGTTATAAATGAAGGTCTAAAATAAAAAATATCGAAGAATAAAAGGTTTTAATCAAACCAATAAAAAAAAATTAATCAAAAAAATTCGATGAGTATATGGTCTAAATATAGAGAAAACTCTATTTATTTATCTTTTAGGACTAGAATTGTAAATCAAGTTATTTGTTTCGAAGAGCTGAAATTGATAAAGTAACAAGAAATGATAAGCCATAAAATATATGGAAATATTCCTATATTTGTACCTCAAGAAAATGCCAAGAAGAAGTACAAAGCAGAGTGATAAAAATGTCATACAAAGTAGGAGAAGAAGAAAAAAGAGAGCATTCATCAAGGCTTATTATTCTCTTACTACATCAAGTATAGAGGACTCGGGTAATTGTGAGGAAGCTATATCCTCAAATGAATCAACCCACTGAAATATTGTTATGAATGAGAAAATGTATTCAATTAAGAAAAATAAAGTTTGGACATTAGTTGATTTACCTCAAGGAAAAAAAAATCCCATTGGATGTAAATGAATTCTTATAAAAAAGTCAAGTCAAATAGAACATTTAAAAATATAAGGATAGATTAGTTGCAAAATGATATACGCAAAACCTAGAGTAGATTATGGAGATACACATTTTCTTTTTCAAAATTTGTATCCATTTGAATTATAATGGCCTTAGTTACTAAGTTGGATCTTGAATTAATTCAACTTGATTTTAAAATTACTTTCTTAAACAAAGAGTTAAAAAAGATATTTACATGGAACAGGCAAATGAATTCCAAAAAAAAAAAAAAATCTAGAAGATAAAGTTTATAAATTAAACAAATTCCTTTATAAGTATTTAATTTTTCACAAAAAAAGTATTAGAAATTAGATATGAAATCAACCATGTAGATAATGGTGTCTATTTGTAAGAAAAAGATAAAAAAAATTGTTTATACTATTATCGCATATAGATGAGATACTACCTGTAGGTAACAATATTAAAATGATAGAAAAAACTAAAGTATGTCTAGAGAAGAAATTTGAAATAAAAGACACTAGACATGCTTCTTTTGTGTTAGACATATGAATTACAAGCGATAGGAAATCAAAACTCCTATGGTTCTTTTTTAATAACATATATTTTTTGGAAACAAAAATAATACTTTATTTTTCGATTAAGATCGATTGGAAGATGAATGAATGTTTGATCTTATTTAAATATTGTAATGGATTTTTTATTCATAATTTTTTTGTAAGATTAGAATTGTGTCTATTGAATCGTGTCCATTAAAACTATTCAAGAATTAAAATAATTGTAATTTTATGATTGATAAATAATGAATATATACGTTAATTAGAAAATAGTATACATTATCATATAAGTGGATATCTTGTTAATGAAAATTAGCTCAATAAAAAACTTTGTTCAATATAAACACAAAAGATTCATGTTTAGTTATCAGTAATAGTGCTACGTGTTTCCAGCCTACGAAGCCAAAAACAATCCATTGATGATTTCTTATGGCTAACACTTTCCATGTCCCAACCAGCCAAAAACAATGAAAGAGCGGATGAAACTTCGATTGTCAGGAGAGGGGCTCAGCTAGACCTACCCCACCATGAAAAGAAGAAAAAAAAGTGCAACTCGTTCATCAAAACAATATGGTCTTATCCATCCTAAATTGAAAAAAGAAAACGATCGTTTCGAAGACTAATGAAAATCTTATAGAGAAAAAGCAAGAGATAGAGCAATCAATTCTGGCCAACCAGATGCTGGGATATGGACATGTTACATGCTTGTGCTCGAAGCATCTTGTAATTTATAGTATTTTTTGACAGCGAAGGATGTTATAAAATGAAGGACACAGTCGCCGAACTTGTCGTCCAGATGCGCGACGAGACACTGGCGGTCTGGCCTGAGCTAGCTGAGCTCAATGTTCTCTTCTATGGTCTAGCGGGACGTGTGACGGTACAAGGGAAGCAGCATGACTTAGAATGGGCTTGTTGACGTATGTTGAAGTCTGAGATGGGCCATTAAAATGGCCCACTGGTTTATGCTGAAAAGCCAGGATAAATCCTTTATCCTGGTACAGGATCATTGGAAATCACCTACCAATCTTATTATGTGAGATTCAATATAAATTAATTTAGTTTTGATGATAAATAAGTTTGAAAATAGACTTAAAGAATAATTTGACAAACAAATTTTTTAAAAGATATTCACATGATTAGACTAAATCCGGTATCTTTTTTTGAAAAGATTGTTTTTTTTTTTTAATTTTCCTTAAAACTATAAAATTTTTGGAAGTCTCATATGTTAGGTAGAAACAAAAGTAATATTTAATCTCTTTTAGCGTTCTTCCAAACACCCTTTATATGTAAGTATATATTGTTGATTCTTATGCCAGCTATCGCTATTAACATATGATCGGACTTTTAGCGATTAAGAGAAAAAAATTAAAATTTAGAATCGTTATCTTGTATTGAAAGAAACTAAAAAATCTAAAAATACATGGATTCAAAGGTTATGGGTAAAGAATTGGTTATGCCATTATGAATATAAAAATCACCTAGAAGCCTCCTTTCATGAAAAAAGTTATCAAATTTAGTCTAATTCTAAAATTATCTCATAAATATAGTATTTACTAAAATATTCATCGAGTCTATTTCTAAATTTATTGACGAATTGAGTTATTGTAAATTTAAAATTAATATGGGGTAATTAATTCTTCATATTTCCTATAGGGTGGTTTTAGGTAATAAAGAATTTATTATTTATCGTGAAATCGTGACATTAGGTTTCAAAATTCAAAATAATATCAATTTAATATCGAATTCGATTAAGTCTTGACATTGATATATAAAAAATAACTAAATAAATTAAAAACAGATCAACTTGGCACGTAGAAGGGAACTAAATCATACACGTTCTTGCTAATTGCCTTTTTACTTTCTTTTTTATTCAATTTTTTTCAGATAAAATTTATCAAGACCACCTTCAATCCTTCACAGTAGAAGACTCGTTGATTTTTATTTTTTTTTAATCAATTTTCAAACAATTTAATTTATTTTAAAAAATCGTCGTAGGTCCCTAAGATATGGGAGAGTCCTCGGTTTTCTTGTCAATTTTTAACAAGAATAATGTAAAGAGAAAACATGCATGGTGCGCG